TGAATCATGTACTCTTCTTCTTCTGTGGTGGTTCAGGATTTGGTTTTGGAGGTGCAGACACTCAGATATGGGATATGCACCGCTGTGTGCTTCTGACTACAGCGAGTGTGTGCATGTGTTTGTGTGTTGACGCATCAGTGTTGTTTGGATCTGGGTGGAGAGTGCTGATGGGGCTGATGCTACGAGAGAGAAAGAGAGTTGCAGTTTGTTCACTATTAGACAGACAGGGACAGATGTCAGCACCAGCAGCTGCTTTAGTCAGCACTTTGCACACACACACACACACACACACACACACACACACACACACACACACACACACACACACACACACACACAGACAGCAGCATCACTGTTACATACAGAAAGGAAATGAAGATACTCTCTCTCTCTCGCTCTCTCTCTCTCTCTTTTCATCCATTCATCCGATTTGTTGCTGAAATCAGAATCTAAGCGAAACCCGAGCGCTGACAGTCTGATGCTCATTCAATCTGCTGCTGGCTGGACTTGTGGAACAAAAGTATCGATCGCCTCTCACCTTCCTGTCAGAGGACAAACACAAGCTGCTGAGTCTGACGGGAGGCAGCAGTAGGTGGCAGCAGACAGTTACACAACACCTGTCTGAGTAATCACAATGAGTGTTGACTTTTTGCTGCACAAATCTAACCTCTGCACAATGCATCACCTCCATAGATGGAAATTATGTTGGACCCGTCTCTGTTGTTCTTGAAGATTAATCAAGTGGATCCCCGACTGACATTTTGGAGAGTCTTTTGTTCATATCAAAAGCTACAGACACCACACCTCACCCACGCTACCTTTCTTTTGTTTTCCACAGATCTGCCAGTCTAGACGCCCCCCTCTTGTCTCTCTATATGTAATACAAAGGTGGTGGCCATGACAACGCTAACTGCATTAAACTCGATTACCTGAGGCCTGCTGAGTCTCAGAGCTGCACAGAGGTTTCTCTTTACCACACACACACACACACACGCACGCGCGCACACACACACACACGTGCGCGCACACACACACGAACACACACGAACACACACACACACACACACACACGCACACACACACGCACACACACACTCTTTCTGCTGCAGAAAACGCACAAATCTCCCTAAATTAATTTATTCAGCTTATTACTCTGTGGCGAGCTGCAATTCAAGCTGAAATAAAGTTGGACTCATGCAGCAAAAAGAGAGCATTGGACACATATGTTTGTTCCAGTCCTCTTGTTGGCCTGGCTTTGAGAGGGAAGAACCAGAAGCTGCCCGGCCCACAAGACCACAGAGCACAAAGTTGTCTACCCGCTTGCGTGAGGGATGGACAGGGATGAGACAGAGGTTGAAGTCTTTGGGAGGGATAGTAGGACGAGCAATCTGCCAGACTGCAGGGTTATATAAGGACAGGAGTTTTCCATGGAAAAAAAAGGGCAAGAAATGCTGTTTGGAGTCAGTCATCCTTAGTGACGCGTGGAAAAGTGAGGAATGCTGTGCTGACGCAACTTTCGAGCAGCCAGCGAGCGTAATGAGCGTGTTTGAGATGAAAGTGTGCAAAAAGGAGTAACATAAGGGGATGAAAGTGAAGCATGTTGTGCACATGTGTACAAGTGGAAAAGCAGAGAGTGTGTGAGCCTACTCTGCTGACGTAACACTTCCTAACTGTTTCCATATAGACGGCCTGGGAGCAGGCGCCAGGCAGCCCCTCAGCATGGATACGTCTGGTACCCATCAGCCCTGTGAGAGGGAGGATACACGCTCTTACAAATGCACACTTGCAACACACATTCATTAACATGCAAATGTGGCAACTTTGAGTTTGATTTAAATGCGCTTCAGTTGCATGAAAAAAATAAACACACGTACACAAAAGGGTTAGGGACACAGTTGTAGATTCAACAACACATTCATACTGGAACTGAGCAGCTGGAACAGTATATTGTTTCATTCCTTTTTTCAATCTAAAAATCATTTAATGTGCTTTTCTTGGACAAAATGCCAAACATTCCTTTCTTCTAGTTTTCCTCTACTCTACACAGTGTTTTTGGTGACGGATAAAAACAACGCTATTTTAAGGGCATCATAATGTGATCATATTCATCACATTATAAATAAGTGAATAACCACACTTAATTCCTTTATCATTGTCCCACATAAATATCTTAAAAAATAGAACCTATGTTGTTGAGAGATGCACATATGGCAATAGAGCCAACATTCAAACACACACAATTAATCTGTATTCACATGTACACATTTGCATCCATTTATGTTTTACTTGATATATGTTATTATGAATCCCTGTGCATGCGTGGGTTCTCTCTTGGTCCTCCGGCTTCCTCCCACAGTCCAAAGACATGCTCGTTAGGTTAGCCTGTGATTGACTGGCGGATAGTCCAGGGTTTACCTCGCCTCTTGCCAGCTGGGATTGTCTCCGGCCCTCCGCGACCCGAATGGAAAAAAGGGATATAGATACTGGATGGATGAATGGATGTTATTATACCTTCATATATTTGTTTCCGATTGCAATTGCAGAAAAGAGGATTAAAAATACATTTAATAAACTTAAATAATTGGTATAACAATACAATAGAAAGCTATTCCAGGCCACTAAAGGACTAAAGCTCTTTGGCAACAAGAAACCTGCAAAGAAGTGCAGACTTCAGCATAGCGAAGCAGAGACTGTAGATAGCAGGTAACCTGAGAGTCAGATCAATATTTGAGGGCACCTTGAAACACACACACACACACACACACACACACACACACGCACGCACACACACACACACACACTCACTCACACGCACACACACACTCTAACTCACACATACACTTGTGTAGAGGAAGCATGTTGTGAAAGGATTATCTGTTATGATCCGGGTGATAAATGCACACACCAGTATGCCTGGCAGGCTGTTTATGTCGCAGTGAATGAAAGTGAGAAAGTGGGATTTACTCTGTATTCCATTACAGTGGTGGTCTTGTCACGGGGAATTCCCATGATGGTCATATAAATACACACACACACACACACACACACACACACACACACACACACACACACACACTGAAGAGCAGAGACTCAGCTGGAGATGCTGGTAATGCCATTATCTTTGCCTGTCTGGTATTAGACTCAGTGAAATGCTCATTAAGACAGCATTGTGCTCGCTGAAAAAGGCTATAGGCCATCTGGTTTTACATGTTTAATTGTTTGTGACGGTTTGTGTGTGCGTATGTGTGTGTGTGTGTGTTTACTGTAAGGCTTTGCCTTATCAAATTAGTGCACCCCTTACCTGCTGCATCAACCCCAGCACTTGATGCCCAACACACTGGTTGTTCTAGTTTGATTGAAGCAAATGTTTATGCTTTGTTGAGTTAAGTTGTTGTTTGAATGCAGAAAGTGACATTACACCATGACATCATGAAACCAAAACTACCTTTGTAGTCTAGCCACCATTGAGGGGACTCAATGAATCCCCCATGCATTGGATTTGAACTCTGTTTTCTTGTAACAGTGGTGGACTCTTGTGTCCTCTGGGGGCAAATACCTTTCTTTGTCTTCTTTTTCTCACACACACCACCACCTCACCTCCTTCTCTCATCCCCTTGAGGTAAGCAGTGTTCAAACACATCACACATTGGCAAAGAGTGCATCCGCCCCTCCCCTCCGTCCCTCCCATGCCCAGACAGTCAGGATAAGAAAGAGTTGCGAGACTAGAAAACTTATAAACCAGTCATGTGTATGTGTAATAAATGTGTGTTGGGTGTGCTAGACAGTGAAGCAGAGGGATAAAACCAGACATTGACTCAGTCGAAGAGAAGACATGAGACACCAGGTGCATGCTACCGGTCCCTTTATCAGTCTCAGATGAATTGATCAATATTCTTCAATATTTCTCCAGTGTAGGAGGGGTGGAGGTGTCTTTCTCTTGTTGGAATGTTGATGGAGGCACCTGCCAGACATCAACCCACATTGTACCTTTATATATCCTCTGTTAGCTAGCAGGCTAACACCGTCTGAAACTTTGTTTTCCCTTAGTCATAATGCTTTTTCCACCTTTCACTGAACATTGAGTACATTACTTCTGTACAAATTTAGTTTATATACCCTGGTAATTTACTTTCACTTAGCACATTTGAACTTTTGAGAAGTATGTATATATATATTTTGCTGTCTTTAGGAGTTATACAAATTAAAATGACTCATGTCTGTTTGTGTAACATGGAGCCTAAGCTAGTAGCATTATAGCTTCGCTTAATTTAAAGACTGGAAACAAGGAATAAGCTAGCCTGGCTCACACTTTCTCTTGTTTTTCCGACTTTTTTCTTTAACAGAGTAAACAGACAACATTTGACTAAAACAGCTTCAGGGGGAGATTGTAGGCAACTGCCTTTAAACTAAGCTAAATTAAGCTAGCATTCTCCCAGCTTTTTTCTTGTTTTGTTGTTGTTGTCTCTTATTACAGCCCCCCTTTTTACTGCTGTAAAGCGTCCTTGGGTTTCTTGAAAGGCGCTTAAAATCTAAGCTATTATTATTACAAGCTGTTGCGTAATTTAATTCATTTAGCTGTAAATGGTTTTTAAATTTGACTACAGGGTACGATTTTAGGTGCAAGGGGTTTTACGTCATACTTTGTGGCATAGCTACTTTTACAGCATGTGTGTTCAATTGTTTTCTGGTCCTATTGTCCAATACAACTAGAAATGTTGTATAAACGTCATAATTAGGTACTAGGCTTACTGAACACAAATGATCTTTTCAATAATTAATTTGCCCATCAGAATACTGATGCACGTGGCTCTATCGTAAAAAAAAAAAAAAAAAAAATCAATCAATGGTGCTGCGTGGTCAGAGTGGAGTTGTTTAAAGACAAAATCAATATCAAGACTCCAGGATGTTGTAATGTGTTGTCTGTTTGGAGGAGTTCCCTTCCCAGCCCCATTCAGCCCCCGTGCAAGCACACAAGAAGTAGAAAAAGAAGCAGAGAGCAGTTTGTATTTTGTCATGTCTGTATTTTTGTCTCATTTTCACAAAACATGTACAGGGGAAGGAAAAGCCTTTCAATAGAACCTGAGGTATTTTTGCGTCAAGCAGCCTAAGGTATCAGGATTTTCTTTTAAAAACGAATCCAAATTCAACAGTGTTCATAGATGCGTTGCTATTTACACAACATGATAATAATAATAATAATAATATCATAATAATTCAATAACAACAATTTAGCAAATGGGACAGCCTGCATCATCTTTGTTACATGTCATAAATAATTCTAACAACATTTCTTAAAAATATAGGAGAGAGGGTGAGGAGAGGAGAGGATGCTTGATCCTCAGGGTGGACACAGGAATCTATCTGAACTTACTGTTTCTTCAGCAAAGGAGGTCAAAGTCAGAGATCAACAGAGAGAGAAGCTAATTGTGGGTCAAAGGGAAATAAAAACACATATTTATGCTATAAATAAATAACCATCTCGCACCAGGAGAGAAAAAATTTAATTTTTTCACCTCAATTTATGAAGATCCTCTTTTTTTGTCTCTGTTTTGTTATGCTGTTCTGTATCAAAGCTTTGGAAAATAAGAAATATAAGAAAAAGAAAGAAAAGAAAAAAAGAGAAAAAGTGAGGGAGCTTTTGGGACATGCATTGTGCTGATGTACCAGCAGCGGTTTACCCTGTGCTGGGCTTGGCTCACTGAAAGATCCCCTGAGAATGAACAAAAGAATGTGTGTAGAACCGAAGCTTTAAATGTGTGAAAATAAGTGCACCCAGTATTTGGAGTGTGTGTTGTTTCGTTTCAGCTTTGGTGTGACGATGATGATGATGAGGATAAAGAGAAATTGATGCTTGCTCTGAGAGCACACTCTGCAAGTCTATGAATCTTAAACTTAAGGAGCCTGCGTCTGTTTGCATATCGTTGTTGTGATGCAAGCTCATGAAAATGGAAGATGATGTTTTACTGTATATGAGTGATCAGTATGTGTGTGGACACTAAAACTACCTTTTTAGTGAACACTTGAGTCCTCAATTGTGATAGGTCCATGAAAAAAACACTGCAGATAAGCCAAAACAGAGATCCTGTTCTTATAGACCTATCTCTTAGCTGGAGTGTCTCTACTATCTTGCAAATACAAAATAGGGGCTTTATATTAGTATGCACTACACTTGCCTCATAGAGTATCATGTCACTGGGGTGTGAAGGGGAGCTGAACTTGGTTATCAGAAAGCAGAAAAGTGCATTTAATTCAAAGTCATTCATCACTCTCCCCAAAAGGAACCGCACATATTGCTTGATTGAATTTCATAAATGTGTGTATTTGTTTGTGCGTGTTCATAAATACCATACAGCAAATAATAATAATAATAATAATAATAATAATAATTCAACATAAGAGAAACAAAAAAGAAAGAAGTCCACAAAACATTATATTATTTCTCATTACCAGAATGAACCAATACAATAAATTAAAACTATAACTGAACAAAACAAGTCCATTAGGAGTCCATTAAAATTGCTATATATATTCATATTGTATATATAGTTTTTGTCTGTCTGTTGTCAGCCTTTCTGGTGCATGCTCAGTGGAGACCATACTTGGTGACTGGGAGCAATGGGTGGGGGGTTGGGGGATCTTATCAAACCTCAGTCCCATCACGCTGTTAACACTGGAAACAAGTGAGCCAAAGTCAGGAAAGACACTCTGTGCTTTGGGGGGATCGGGGGGCACTGCCTATCACTAAGAGTCTTTCAGCAACCAAATGCTGAGGATCATTCATGGTTTAGTACAGTACCGCCTTTCAATTAAGTCCTTGGGATTTCTCTGCCTTGTGCTGTGGGGATGTGGGGAGACGGTGCTGTTATGGGGTCTGGTTTTGTTGTTGACTTTGAATAAGAGTCTGTAGCAGGCAGAACCACCAGGGAGGAGAAGGGGTTGGGGGGGGGGGGGGGCAGACGTAGCCGTGCAAGGTTTGAGGCTTTCTGACACATGAAGAGAGAGGAATCAAGCTGTACACCCACTGAAGCACACCATGTTTGACCGCAGGCAAGCAGTGTCCAAACTCTGTCAAAATAAGGATATTCTTCATAGTAAGGATGCAACATGACACTTGCTCTGGGCTGATTCTTTTCATCCGCGATAGAGCAAGGAAATTAACAGTTTCAGTACCTTCAGTCACCCCGTTTGTTCAACTCAAACTCCCATGACTTCTTCTAATTTGTGCGTTCATTTCTGAATGTTTTAAGGTTGCTCTCTGTCCAAGTGCGAACGCTCTTTGCTTCCGTATCTATTTGTCCTTCCGTCTGTTAGAGTTTTTAACACTGTCTGTGAGGGGAGGACAAAAAAAAAAGCCTCCCTCTAACAAGGTCCATTTAGCCACTAAGGGACAGCTTTAGTCATGTCCATTATCTGTCAGGATACCTCGATGATCTCCATGCTACCAGAGAAGCTCGACTGTTTCCCAATTTTTCCCAATTCTTCTCTGGACCGCGTCTCGGAGATACCGTCCTCGAACTCCATCTGACAGCTGCGCCTCTTGAACTGCTTGTCTGACGCCGGCCCATTGTTGCTCACACTGCCAGATGACTTGGAGTCCCGGTGGTCTCTCTGTGTCTGCGCTGTCGAGGGCTTCTCCCTCTGGGACTTGTCTCGTAACCGCACACCTTCGCTGCACCCAAATGCCACATACGCCGAGCTGCTCCCGAACCTCACAGACGACTGCTCCCCTCCTCCAACCCCTCCTCCTCCCAACTCCATGCGTCCCTCACCGCCCTCCTCTGCCCCAAAGTGCCAGGGGGCGTCTGTGGTGGGGGTGACAGGAGTGACAGGAGTGGTGGCCTGGACAGTGTCTCTGTGTTTGGTCCACATGGCCCCGGACCCCACGGTGGGCAGGGAGGGGAGTGAGAGGAGAAGGGAGCCCTTCAGGTTCTCGTCCAGACTGGGGCTCTTGTGGTCCAGCGACAGGTTGAGGGACTGTGGAGGTTGGTGCAGTTGGGAGTGGATTGGGGAACTACTTGAAGAGTGTTTGGTTTTCCTCCTGGGCCTGGATGAGGAAGAACCAGAGCGATGGCTTCCTTCACTTCCTCCGAGACCTCCAATGCTGCCCCCACTGCCCGGTGAGGGGAATGGAGAATCTGCGGGGCTGGGGCTGTCTAGGACGGGAGACTGGGAGCACACACCATTGGAGGTGCCTGTTCCAGGGCTGTCGAGCTTGCACAGCTTGGGGACGTCTTCAGAGTGCGTAGGAGCCATGATGGGGCAGCGGGGACTGTTTGGGGAGTATACAGACTTAATGTCCAAAGAGAAGGAGCGTTTAAGCCTGTTAGTGTCCATGATCCTCTCTGCGGAGAGGTGGAGGCCGTTGAAGCCTTGCTGGAGAGAGGTGGGTGATGGCAGCTTGGGTTCTGCGGGGATGTGTGGCTCTGGAACAGATGAGTCATAGTTGCTGCGGTGGCCGTTCATCTCAAATCCTGCGCTGACTCCGTTAACCTCGGAGCTTTGCTTGGTGTTGTTTTCAGAGAACTTGTCGTCACAGGGGGAAGTTAAAGCTTGCAGTAATTGCAGACCCTTTTCAAACTCCAGAAGCTGACCCAGGAAGTTAAAGTTGGGGGATATGGAGGGTCGACGATCCTTTACAAACCTGAAGATTGGAAAAAAGTTGGAAAATATTAGTCATCATAAAGCAATTTTAACAATGCCACTTGTTAATAGTATGAGGCAGAGGTTTAACAGTAAATCATATGAAACATATAATGGGAACATCTTTAGAAGAAGTAGGGAAGGGGATTTATGTGCAGAAACATAATCATGTGCCAGTGTTGTTGAGAGCTTGTACACACTCACACGTTACCCTGGACACCAATAAACAATTTAATTTCTCAAGACTGGGGGGGAAGTATAAAAAATCATCTAGCATTACTTTCAACAGTGAGTTGCCTTTTACTGAAGCTGACACCTTAGATCAGCTGGTGGTGAATGGGAAGAGGAAGCGTACCTGTAGGCATCATCGGATGACAAGCCCATTGTCTTCATGATGTACGCGATGGCGATGGTTGCTGAACGCGAGATTCCAGCCAGGCAGTGCACAATGACTCTGCAGTTTGACACCTTGGCTTTGTCTGTTGAGGAGGGGAAAAAACACACAGGTATGAATACACGTCTTGAACACAAAGTCTCTGGAGACAATCCATGTCTATAGAAAGCAAACTGACATTTCCTGAAACAGTACAGGGGGTCACATGAACGGATGTGTTAAACCTAGCGCTATTGTTAACTAAGCTGCACGTGAGCAACAATGTGCGGATAGGTTGTATCAAATATCATGGCGTTCTTCAACACATAACTTAAGATGAATTTGCTTCCTTAAAGTGCCCGTTGTGCTTTTAATCAGTAATCTTGAACTTCAGTGCAATATGGTTAATCTTACCAATGAATTCATTAGTTTTGTCCAACCAGGGAAGCAGTTTCTCGCAGTAGTTGTCGTTAACTGGGATTCGCATAAAGTGGCTCTCGCTGATGAAGTCTGGCTTCGGGCAGGTGTTGCTAGCATTCAGAACGTATGTGATACCATTCTGAGCCATCAGATCCTGCAGATACACAAATGAAGGTAATTACAGGTTTTGTTATCACTTAATAAACAAAGAGATAGTTTACTTTCACTGAATGGAGATTTTAAAAAGCTAAATAAAATCTACCTTGTTGAGTACGTCCTTCTGTGAGCCAAGGTAGAGGTGCGACAGGATGCGAGTAGGTCCAACATTAGCTACTGGCAAGCAGGGCTGGGACAAGCTCATGGGCAGAGCAGTGGCGGGTTTCCCCTCACACAGGCCGGGGAAACAGGAGGAGAAAGCAGCAAAACCTCCTGCAGAGACAAGAGAGTGGAGAGAACTGGTTAGGTACACTAATGTATTTTTTTTTTTCTTTGCAGAGAAATCAACAAACACACTTGGGACCCTGCAAAGACTCCAATGTTCTCATCATTGCACCCCTGTTAGCAGAGCAGACTGACGCTCTATAGGCTTTCAGAAGTGAATCTGGGCTACAATGTCTGGGTCCTGTTAGTGCAACAGGAGCAAAATAGAGGCTCTCTGTGCTTCTGTGTGCGAGGTTAGGTTAACTGCAGGGCGGCCTGGAATGTGTGTGTCTGGCCCTTTAAGAGGCAGGCGGCTCCACTTTTGGCATATGTGTGTGTGTGTGGCTCTGTTTCCTGCATGAGCTCATGTCCTGTAGCAGTGCATTGCGTCAGGGTGGGGGAATGAGAGAGGCCACAGGTGCAGGGCCAGGACAGAGGCCCAGTATCCCCCCCCTCCCCTCCCCCTCCCCCGACAACCACACAGCACACACATACAAACAAGATATATATTATATTGCACACACATATTACTCGGATTAGATGGCCGCATATCTTGTAGTCAACAAATGCTCAATACTCGTTCTGTCTTGCTTGCCCCCAATCCTGCACACACACACACACACAAATATCCACACTCATCATTACTCTGCAGTACCGCAGTTGTATAACTACAGGGAGGAGGCCAACCAGAGGAGGGGAGTTTAAGTGTGTGTATGTGTGTGTGTTTGTTGAGGAGTGGGTAATGACCTTGTTGAGGAGTGTGTAGCATTGAGGGGAGTGCTTCAAGGAAACCCTGAGCCCCACAAAGGAGATTAAAGCCTAATCTAGGTTCAGCCCTGCCTGACCCAATCTGGGCTGTAGTGCATACACACCCTCACACACACACACACACACACCACACACACACACACACCCACACACCCACACACCCACAAACACGCAGTCGCAGAGTGAGAGTGAGTGAGACATGACATCACTGGTCTAAAGTAGCACACACAGCACAGTGCAGGCAGGACATTACCTTCTGTTGTAACACACACCCAGCTGCACTATTCATGTAGCAACTGCTGGCTAACACACACAAACAAAGAGAGCACACAGTGTCAGCAGAATGGACTGTGCACTCAACATGTATGAGATCTAAAATGCTGCGGCACAAGAGTTGTGCAAACTCCCAGAGGATAGCAGCTTTTGCCCTGAGGTTGGGTGCAACTTTGTGACCAATGCTATTCTGGGTGCACTGTCCCTTTAAGAGCAAAGGAAGAAGGGCTGTCTGTTTCCAGCTATTAATGGCAACCGGCGGAGCAATGACATCAGCCCTCATCATGGGGGGTTGAGTGGAGGGAAGAATAGATATGCAGAAGGAGCGATCAGATGACTTACAAGTTAAAGGAGGAAATAAGGGAGAGTCTGAGCGATAGCTGCTGTGCTGGCATGAGGATTTGATCTAACCTTTTTTGACCAAATAGCAGTTTGTAGTTCAAAGTTTGGCCATAGACTGCACTGGTACAGCACAATTTCCACTTGAGCGTCCTTAAGGATTCTATGGGCAGTACTGCGTTTTCACTAATTCATAAAACAGAGGGAGGAAGGGTTATTCTTTGAAGGGTTTCTTCCTGGTTTCTCAGTTCCTAAACTGCCTCCACACACACACACACACACACACACACACACACACACACACACACACACACACACACACACACACACACACTCACGCAAAGAAAATAAATTGTCGGACATATAGCCCCCACCACGAGCATACATACAAAATCTGTGTGAGGAAGCAGGGTGTTCCTGGAGACTCTTAAATCAACGGGAAAAGCTTTACGTCACACAGCAAACATTTCCCCTTCATATACGAGGACATTGTTAGAGAGTTGTTAGAAGGACTGAAGACAGGACGTTCCACAGTGGAGACAGAGTTTGTGTGTGTGTTTAACTCTGAAGAGAAAGTGTGTGAGAAGGGAAGTGACCACATGAATGAAACACATTTCCAAAAATGTTCTTGTTGTTTGATCTCCTGTGTGAGTCTGGATTAATGATTACAACTGTAATTCCTGTAAATGACCTCATCTGGCGTTAAATAAACATCTAAACGGCAGGAAGACTGGCGGACAGAGTGAGTAAGGGGTTACTGGCATGACAGGAGACTGAAGTCAGAGATAAGAGAGCAGGACTGAGTGCGTTGGACTGCTTTTTAAGGCTATTACATTACAGCGGCATTATGTCAACACAATTATAAACACCTTCCATGTAGTCAAAGCTCTACACAGCAGGAGCTAATGGACGTTAGTCACAGAGGAGATAGCATGTTATTGTCACCTCGCCACCTGACCCTGCTCTACTTGAGGTTGCCTAGACGACCGTGAGGAAGGGCAGTGATGTTGATGACAGTTGGCTCATTGTGTTCCCCCGAGTGCGGTCAAAGATGGAATAGACGTACATACAGACACACAAACATCATCATATAATCTGTAGAGACATGGCCTCACATTCTCCAAAAGACAACTATGACACATCCGTCCATTCCAATCAAAGCACACAAGCGATACACATAAGCACACGGTACACTCACACTGAGGTCACTGAAAATACCCTGTGACACACACCAGCCCAGCTGTCTATGAAGATGACATCAGAGAGTCAACAGGGAGGGATGAGTTCACCTTAACACAATGTGATAATCAACAGGGGCTAACACACATGCTAGATGAAACTGAAGAGAGAAACCTAACTTAAATATATATCACAGATGGTATATATCAGACCCTACTGTTTCATTTCAAAAATAAACAGAAATACATTTCCTGCTATAACTCCCCTTTGCTTAAACACTGAAGAGATGAGATCATAAGACCCGGAAATATACGTCAAACTTTTTATTTTTCAGCTGACTAGTTCACCCTTTTTGCAGAGCGCTACCTCATGTATCTCAATTTTCTGGAAAAATCTACTTTGACGGGAAGTGACTAACCCAATTCTGAACACATGCTGTAAAAAAAAAAAAAAAAAATAAGAAAAAGTAGAAAAAGCAAATTTTAGGTTGGAAAGAAAACACAGAGCGGGGAAAGAGGGCACTGTGTCGCCATCAGCAGCACTAGCCAGCGGTGACTTCCTTTTTCCGTTTTCCTCTGCCCACTTCATCACTTATGCAACTGCTTTTTTCCCTCTCTTCACCCTGTCAGAGCCGAGCACTCAGGCCTCCTTTGTTCGCTGGTTGTGAGTGGTGTGTCTTCATTCTTTAGTTGATTCCTAACTAAACATTCACATTGTAATGTAAAGCTACAAGTTATTATCCACATATATGACAACCTTTGTGGTTTTATTAAGATATTTGGTAAAATCCTGTTTTTTTTCGAGCTGCATAGCTTGTGTGAACTGATACTGAGAGCTGAGAGATGAATGGATGTGGTATCCCAGAGATATTGACCGAGCGAGCACAGATACACAACACCTGCCTGGCTGTTCTGGTTAATGGGGAGCTCTGCTGTTACATCACTGCTGCTGGTACAATTGACTGCCTCGTCAATAAAAGCTCACCCCCTCCCTCCTTTCACTGTGTGTGAGTGAGTGCTTCAGCCTCTGCGAGCTTTCAATCGCCCGCTTTAACTTGTCTGTTGATAGAGAGGGGATGCACACACACGCGCACACATACACACACACACACACACGCACAAAGCAGACATGTACATTCACACACACAGCCTGGGGGCATTGATCTGCCTGAATGAGCACCCTGCACCCCTCCATCCCTCCCTCCATCCCTGTCCTCTGTGGTTCATATCGGGAGAGACATGACGCCATCCTCTGTGCCCCTCCAGCTGTCCCCTTCACTATTAGGGGACATTAGCATCTCAATGTGAGCCCCCCTCCATCCCTCACCCTCTCAAACATGACATCATTGCACACATGTCCCACTCAGATCCACAAAGGCAGTGCTGCAGCCTGAAGGAGCGATGCAAGTGTGTGTGTTTAATAGTGGCCACATCTGTCAAAAATGTGTAGACTGATAGGCCATTGATGATTTAGTGGGATGAGGTCATCCCTTTTCATACAGGGCTTGAGGTTGATGACTGTATGATTAACACGTCATCCTGGCTGAGGGTGAAACTGTTTATTGTTCCTTTATCTCATAGGAAAGATAGCAGGATCAAAAGCGTTTTCAGCAGTGCCGTGTTACTGCAATAAAAGACTATAAACCCTCCTGTAATGAGCGCACTTCACAAGTCTTTTTCCACAGAGACATGTTGCAGTGCCTCTAAATAACCTGTGACAGACACACTTCTATTATTACTTAGTGACGACAAAGGTGTGATTTCTTTTTAACTGCTTGCTTTCTCTAAGCCGATGTGTTTGACAGATCCTGGAGCAAAACCTGGTTTATGTATACACACCTATGCACACAGACAAAGAAACACAACTGACTGTGTGACCACAGTGGCAGGTGTTCAGGTCTGCACTGTTAACTGCTCTGAACTGGCTCTCTGATATGGCCTGATGTGCATAAAGAATTAAGATTTGCATACAAACTTTACACTCATTCATCTGTGACCCAAATAATCCTCCAATGACTTGAATGAATGCATTAATGAAATACTGTATATTTTGGGCAATATGCATGTAAGAGTGCTGCATAAAAGATTTTTTTTCACAGCAGCACAGCTCTGCATTGCCTCATCACTCTGTGTGAAAGGTGTTATGTTAAACACCTGCAGTGCACACTGCACACATATTGATAACACAATCTCCACAAGACTCCATTCTGCAGAGAGAGGGAGTGAGCAGGAGTGAGAAAAAAGCCAAGAGCAGAGGAGAAGAAAGAGAAACAGAAAGAGCCTTTGTGATAGTTTTACATCTCAATGACTACAGGCTGAGAGAGCATGAGCACTATGTCATATCGTGGGTCATGGCTCTCATTCTTCCCCCAGAGCCCTTTTTCTCGCTTTTCTTTCCTCTTCATTGCTTTTTGTCTTCATAATGTCATCCTCTTAATCCTCCTTCTTCCCTTTCTATGACTCTAAACACATTAACTGCACAAACAAAAACAATCAGCGCTTTTCGCATGGTGGTTGCAATGTATTTTATAGTCTGTTGTAGCCACGAATTGCATTATCGATCCAGCACACATCCTTAAAATTCAATCCACATCTTTCTTTCATTCACAGCACGCCTGGACTGGAATAATTCAACACCTAAGAGCCCACTGTGCCTTTGTACTCATCTGCAGTGCACAAACCAATACCAGGGGCTTTCCCCTTCTTATACTGTTTGCAACAGAGGTACAGTTTATAGAAAACCTCCCAGCAGCTAGTCTTAAATACAAATTAAATTATACTCCATGTTCGTTGCATATAGACCATGTAACATAGGGATTTAACATCTGTACACAAAGGCCTACATCCTCAACATGCTACACTCCAGAAAGGGATGTTCTCATACCAACACACACACATTAACACAAACACACTCATCACTTCTCCTACTCTTTGTCCAGGTGGATACACACCTCGCAGCTCTCTCCCCTCCTTCATTCTGCGGACCCTGATCTTCAGCCTCATGTCTGTGTCCTGCAGGTCCGGCCAAAAACAGTCCTCCGCTGGGGCAATCACCACATCCAGAGGCATCCCCCAGAGCACACTCTGTCTAACACTCATACACAGTCACAGAAGGAAATGTTCTGGTGCTCTTTTTTTTTTTTTTAGGGATGGAGCGAGCCCTCACCAATCAAAAAAGGTTCGGACAATCGAACAAACAACCAGGAGGTGTACTCCTTAAAGGGTTGATAAAGTTTCACTTTGTGTTGAGTGTAAAATTCCAAAGTAGACAGCAACTCCTGCTGCTGCTCAGATCCGCTCAGGTCAAATCAACTGTTCCAGTGTTCAGTGATGTTCCTCAGGGATCAGACTTAAGACCACAAAAAAAATAGTCCAGGATGTCAGTGAGCAGGCTCCTCAAGTACACCTTAATTCCATGCAATGATCACAGAAAATCCTAAAATGCTCTTTCAGTGATTTTGTGGCTTTGAGAAAAGTTGTCACGCACACAAGGAGCAAGAAGACAAACCATGAGTCTTCTGTATAGTCCAGCTGTAATCTGCCTGCAGCTGGCTCACAGAGAATTTCTGTGTCTCTGAGCCCTCTCTCTGTCTCTGTGAGTCCACAGCCAGGAGAGCAGCCCACTATTGTTGTGCCGCTCCGCTTTCCCCGTCTCTCATTCGCTCAGTTGCTGGCTTACGCTCCTCCCTCTCCTGCCCTCCTCCCTCTCTCTCTCTATTGCTCTGCAAAGAGGATGACGGAGCTGCACTCTCTCCTCGAGCTCTGGGGGTGAATGAGCTCACTTGCCGTGAGCTCAGACTCTACCCTCCCTCCCTCTCTCCCCCTCCCTTCCTCCTCCCTTCCTCTTCTACCTCCCTTGCTCCCTCCCTCTCTTGTGGAGCCAGAGCTCCGTCATAGCTAATGTCTAAGGCATGTAACCACATTCCTTACTCACCCAGCAAATATGCGGCCACCTCAGGGGCCTAGCTGTACAGCAGGCCTCTATCAGGGAAAGGATGGAGGCGAAGACGCAGCTATCAGGCTGGTTAGCAGAAACATATACACCGCTACTAGACTGAAAAGACTCTGTGTTGTTGATTACAGGGAAATGCTATACTTCCAAAAAGATGCTTGTGTTTTTCTGCTTGATGTTGTATGCATTTGTTCTGATGGTTTGTACGCTTCACAGTTTCAGAAAGAAATAGTAGGAGATGCACAACTATATTTTTATATTTACCTGTTATGCTTCCTTAATAATTTTATATTTGATACAAGCATTCTACACATTTAATAAAACTTTAAAGTTATCAGTATGACGTTGAATATATTCATTAGCTTGCATAGTGCAGGGGGCTTTAAGATTCAGTGTCAGTGTGTTGAAAGCTGATTTGTCTCTGAGGGGAAAGGAATGTGTGGCTTCACCATGTTTCCTGCGCGGGTTAAGGTCTAACGCACCTGGAATTGGACACTGTGCTCTCTTGTTTAAGAATGAACAGGCAGAGACGAGTGTAGAGGAGAGGTGAGGATAAGGGAGGAGAGGAAAAGGGAAGAGACAACTCCCCCCCCCCAAAAAAAAACAAAAAAAACAACAGCAAACAAAATAGGAAGAGGAGACAAGAAGTGATGAGAAGACAAGCTTGTGGTCTGCAGCCATCATCCGTTTGACAGGCCGCAGACTCTTGGTACTTTACTACGGAATGACAAACATGTCGGCCACAAGTCCAGCTATGGAAACAAAGTGGTATAGGACTTCATATAACCAAAGGCGGAGAAAAAACATTTAGTACAGCTTTTCAACATTTTGCATGTTAATATATGTAAACTTTCAATACACTTTTGCTGCTGTCATTTCCAATCTTATTCGAAATAAAAAGCAAAGATTTCCTATAAAAGGGCCCCGCTCTCAGTAGGCCGGTCAAACGTCCTGTCTGTCTGTTCATTCTCAGGTTGAGACATCACGGTACGCTGACTGCATTCGATCCGGGTCAGATGGGCCTCTAATGCATTAAGTCATTGCTCAGTTTGAAAAAAAAAAAAAAAAAAAAAAAGGGCAAACAAGCTTATACAAGATGTCTAGTGAGGGGGCCAGCTGCATGCTGACAGACTGACCTCATCTCATCACTGCAGACCCCTGAATGATCACACCGGGGTGAGAACAGCCTTACGTCACTCTCTGTTCAACCGTGGGCCACTCACTAAGAGAGACAGCGGAGCAGGAAATAGGTCACTTGGTGATGATGAGCTTGGTGAAAAATGCAAGCGGACATTGCATTTTGGGAGGATGAACAAACACACACATACAGAATAAACACACATACAAGTACACACACCTTATTTCTTTATCTGCAGCTGGTTGAGGCAGATGTGGCACTCCACAGTGGTCATCTGGGGTCACTACAATTCAAACACACCTCTGAATCCACACCTCTGTTGGTTTTCCTGTCTGTGTGGCTCCAAGCAATAAAGCCAGCTATTGAAACACACGACTTCCCAATACCAGAAAAACCCACAGCAGTTAATGCCAGCAACAACAGGACAAAGTATCCAATGTTTTAATGGTCAGCAAACACCCTGCCTTCCCTCTCTCTACACCTCCTCCTCCTCTCCTCCTCAGCAGGGTAACAAGGCTCAGAATAGCAGGTGTGTTAATTAGAGGATCATAGCCAAGACCCTATAAATGACAGTCAGGCCGTTTTTATTGACGGCACATGTGCACTCTGCTGCGACAGAAATAGGTAGGACAGTCACTCCAGTCACCCTCTCCCCCCCCTTCTCTGACACCTCTTAGATTTACAGCATGTTTTTATGGTAGAGGGCTTGTTGCCAGGACAACGCTAAGTGTACACACACATACACACGTAAAGAAAAGCCAAATCAGTCAGAGAGAGAAACCGAGAAGAGTGTATAAGATATCGGTGTAAGCGCGAAAGAGAGGTGTGCCCAAATAGACCAACAACATGATGCAGCCTCTCTGCAAATACTAATTACATGTTAGATGAACGAATGAAACACTTCACCTTGTTAATCTAGTTTTGTAATTGCAGATATATCATGTATTTGAGTGATGGCCCAGTTAAAGGACAGGTGTGTCCTGGAAGGCCTGCCCACTCTAAAGACTTACCTTGACATAGATTTGGCATATTAAGAACTGTAGCAGTATGAGTGAGTTAAACCTTTTATTTTAAAAATAAAAACTATATATATATATATATATATTCATGTTTTCATGTTCTATTGATTTCTCTCTGTGCTGCATCTTCTAGTGCTTTTGTAATTTTTTTTCAGCTTAGGTCAAATGTTTTATTATTTGAATCATGTTACTGCAGAATGACCAATAAAACAATTACCCTATATCTATTTATTTAGTTTCTTACAATTTTCTAGGTCAGGTTACATAAAACAAAAATCATCATGATGTATAAAAAACAAAAATTTTTAATGAATATGTCTCATCAGCTATAGTTGTTAAGTTGTTAGCGTTACTTCTTTCACTGGTGAGACAGGCAGCGACAGGAGCGTCATTCTACACCACAGATCGTCTGTCAGGATATCATGGGAAAAAGCGACGTCATCTTCCGGATCGGGGAGGTTGGGATGATGAAGTCTGGATGTAGATGTCTGAGTTCATCTCTGTGTGTGCGTTTGTGTGCATGTGTTTGAAGTGTGAGGGGGAAGAACAGAACAAGGTGAGAGGACATTGCTGCAGGGGTGAGGGACGGTGTGGACAGTTATTGGCTCTGATGTCTGTAAACACAAGCATATGTGCCTGTGCACAAGTGTGTGTGCATGTGTGTGTGTTGATAGTGCTGGTTGTCAGGGGATCAGTAACAAGACTGCTCTTGCAGTGATGTAATGCCTACAGGAGAACACAGCTGCCATGCCTGGGGGTTGAGGTAGTCACCAAGGGAGGAGAAAGGGGAGGATGGATGGATGGATTGAAGGTGAAGGAGTTGGTGAGGTAAGGTAGCTGGGGTACTGGAAGTAATTGGGAAGGGGGTGTTTAAATCTATAGGGAGATTGAAACTGAAATAATGTAGTCATATCGCTAAGGGACATTAGTGATGTAGTGGGTCATGGTGTCTCTTTGTTAGTGTGTTAGTGTGTGTGTATGCATGTATGTGTTTTGAGGGTGTGGAGTCAAACCTCATTCATTTTTTTAGGACTGACCTAAATTGCATATTTTTATATCTGAAAACTTCGGTATTGCAGCATTTACATCTCTGTTTTCTGAACGATGACAGGAACTGAGGTGGTAAATACAAAGGTAAATATGATGCAGGAATAAGATGGAAAAAAAAGCACTTCTTACATGAACAGAGCAGGCATGTTAAGGGCACTTCTTCTTCATATGTGCTCATGCATGAGGTACCTTCATCTCTATCTATGCAGTTTGTGTTTGTGTGTGTGTGTGTGTGTGTGTGTGTGTGTGTGTGTGTGTGTGTGTGTGTGTGTGTGTGTGTGTGTGAGGGTGGGTGGGAGTGGGGGTTCTTGCATTAGTCATGCTGTAGACCCCCTGCCCCCAAAACAACTTAACCCCCTGGAGAAACTCGCCACTCCAGGCTACTGCACCATTAAATCCATTTCACTAGCTAGAAATTAGTTCACACACACACACACACACACACACACACACACACACACACACACACACACACACACACACACACACACACACACACACACACACACAGTCAACATAGAGAGAGAGAGAGAGAGAGAGAAAAAAGAGTAAGCTATCAAACACACCAAGCGGGACTTAAAGAACCAGACGGCCCCTCATAAACCAGATGAACTACTTAAAAATCCCAGTAGGAGATGCTCAGCGGTGTGTGTGTCTACTTGTGTTTTTGTGTGTGTGGCAAAAAAGGGAGGACTCAAAAAGCCTCAATATGACTTGAGGCATGTGCTTACAGTATGTTTGCATGCATACAAAGCCTGTGTATTGACTGTGGGTAAAAATGTGAACATAGGAAACAAATGTTAATTTCAGCTAGGAGGGAGACAGCTCTTTCTAAGGTTATATAAAGATGAGTGATGCATGTGTGTGTGATGATAAAGGCTAAATATGTGCAGAGAGCACACATCAGTCTTCAGGAATGAAAAGATCAAGGAATGTGTCTGTCTGAGTACAAACTCTACCATGATCTGATTTCCCCAGAGGTGAGTTTGTCTACACAGGTTCACTTGAGCATTACAGATGGTTATTTCATTCTAAATGCTAATGCGCTGATCAGGGGTGCACAGGGTTTCCTTTGCAGGCCCGGAGGTGATCACACAAAAGAATTGGCGTGCTAATTTCTCTTACTGTCTCTCTAATGTAGATCCGTCTGACACATTCACATATAGACTCACAATCACACACTCACAAGGTGGCAGTGTCATAACTGTGGTGCGCTGAAAAAAAGAAGCTGGCAGCGGATTAGTTTGTTTTTAATTAACCAGTACTGCGACTACATGCAGAATGACAGGCAGGCTTCAGATCAGTTCAGTGTTAATTAGCTCCTATCAGCGCAGCAGGCAGGCTGACAGACTCACTGTCCTGACACCAGCGCTGGAAGCCACGCCATCTGGCCACACACACACACACACACACACACACACACACACACACACACACACACACACACACACACACACACACACACACACACACACAAATATACCTGCAGATTAGCTGGTATTAGCAGGTCTGCAGTTGTAAGTGAGGTATTGGCTGCACCATGAGTGATATCTGATTCATAGCTGGCAGGGTCTTGTCTACCTGTTTCACAATTATCTCA